AACAGCAGTTTAAAAATTGTCCATTTTTTCTTATATACTATGTTTCAAAATGTACATGAGTTGATTATGGATAGAAAGCTGTTACATTGGTTTCTTTTTATTTTTTTCTCTACCCCTAAGTCATTATTATATTATTTTCTTTATGATAAATCCTAATATCTAATAGGGAATATTTTTTCTTTTTTCCCGCCTACTTTTAAAAAATTGCTTTCCTATGTTTTCAAATTGCTTGACCTTTAACTCTTTCTTATAAATTTTAGAATTGATGTGTCAAGTTCCTTGAACACCCTTTATGGAAATCTATTTAAACACCATTGGATTTATAGTTTGGATAGATAGAAATGGTGTTTAAAACATTAAATATCTTAAGCTAGGTATATAGCATTGGTCAGAGGTCAGTGCAGAAAACAAACACTCTCTAGGTGTCTAAGCAGAAATAAATTTGATACAGGGAATTTGTTGTAGGCTAGAGTATGTATATATTTGTTTTATTTTTTAGCTTCCAAATGTATAGGGGGTAGAAACTGGATATTTTTGTTTATTTGCTCCTTCTTTTTTTTTTTGTGGCATTGTCATTGGAGAACAATATTGATTCTTCTGCATTTGTTGAAAACATCCTTTGTGGGTTACAAGACTACCAATTTTAATGAATGCCTTATGAAGATTTGCAAATGTTATGTGTGTTCTACTTATTGAATATGAGGTTCTATATATGACCTTTAGATCAAGCATACGAGTTACATGCAGAAATCTTCCATATCTACCATTAGTTTTTTTTTTTGTCTGCTTAGTCGGTTTCCTAAAAAGGAGCCTTAAAATGTTCCATTGTAATTATGAATTTACTGATTTCTCCTTATACTGATGATAATTTTTGCCTAACTTATTTAAGTTGTAAAATAAATAAATACAAACTTAAGCATTCTGAATACCTGAAGAGTTGTCCTTTTATCATTAACTCAGAAACTTCTATTAACTTTTTTCCTTTAAAGTCCATTTAGTCTGATATTTTCAGAGCCACACAAGCTTTCTTTTGTTTCAGATTTACTTGTATAAATTTTCCATATCTTTACCTTCACATTTCTGTGTAATTATGTTTTAGTTATGTCTCTTATAAATACACATAGCTGGGGTTTCCCTAAATTTTTATTTTGAATAATTTCAAATATGCAGAAAGGTTAAAGAAATAGAAAATAAAAGCCTGGCTACCTTTCATCTAAATTTATCGATTATTTATATTTGTCACTTTGCTTCTCTTTCTGTCTGTATGTCAATTGCACTTTTTTAATGGAATCATTTGAATGTGAGATGCAAGTATCATGCTGCTTCACCCCTAAATAATTCAGCATTCATTTCTCAAGAATAAGAAAATTCTTCCTCTCAACCACAATAAAATTTTTTGCACCTACAAAGTTAACAATAATTTTGTAATGTTTTCTAAAAGTTGTGCATATACAAATATTTCCAATGATCCCAGAAATGCCTTTTAATGGCTTTTTCCTAATCCATGGTGCAAGATTTATGCATGACACATAGTTCCTCTTTCCCTTGACTTTTAGAATATTTTCCTCCATATTGAATTATTTTACTAGTTATTTTGAGAAATTTTCCACTTTCTGTATTTGTCTGATTGGGTTCTTATGGCTAGTTACAAGTTAGACATTTTAGCAAAAATGTTTAGATGATATAAACATATTGCATCATGTCATGGAGGCTGTAATGTCAGTTGTCCCACTATTTGTGATGCAATCGATAGCTTGGTTAGGTGGCAACCACTAGATCTTCCCACTATAAAGTTACACTTTCCTGCCTGTAAGTAGTAAGTAATCAATGGATGATGCTTTGCAATCAGATGAAAAGCTTAATCTCCATGCCCTTTCACCCAGTGGTTGCGACATTCATTTATGATCCTTGACTAAATCTATCAATTATTCATCTGGGGGTCAAAGAATGCAAGTTTTCAAATTTTGACATTCTTTTTACCCAAATTATTTGGCATTCTTTTCGAAAGAAGAAGTTTTCTCCTCTCTACCTTCTCCATTTTTCTCCACTACTTTTCTTTTTTTTTATAATTGAGTAAAACTGTGGAGACATGGATTTTTTTTTTTTTTTTTTTGAGACGAAGTTTGCTCTTGTTGCCCAGGTCAGAACGCAGTGGCACAATCTTGGGCCACTGCAAACTCTGCCTCTCTGGTTTAAGTGATTCTCCTGCCTCAGCCTCAGCCTTCCAAGTAGCTGGAATTACAGGTATGCACCACCACACCCGGCTAATTTTGTATTTTTAGTAGCGATGGGGTGTCATCATGTTGGTCAGGCTGGTCTTGAACTCCTGACCTTGGGTGATCCGCCTGCCCTGGTCTACCAAAGTGCTGGGATTAAATGTGTGAGCCACTGCACCTGGCCTGGATTTTTTTTTTAAAGTCAATATTTTATAATCTATTACTATAACTATTCTTTGTAATCTCAAATTTTCTAAAATTTGAATAGTGGGAACTCTTTCAAGCCAACTCCCATATCTTTTTGACATAACTCTGTTTGTCTTTGAACATCTCCTTATTCTCAGGCACAACATGTTTTAGGCTTACTTTAGAAGTTCTCTGCTCAAGTTCTAGAATCAGTCTATTATGCAAGTTAGGGCAGATGAGAATGCATATATCCTACGAGTAGACAGGTGTCAAAAAGGAAGAGCCAAAAGGGTTAATCTAGACATGACCAATAGTTCCTCAACTATAGTCATGCACAGCATAATAACATTTTGGTTAATGTTGGACTGCATATATGATGATGGTCCCATATGATTAAGCACCATATTTGTATTTTACCTTTTCTGTGTTAATTATGTTTAGATATACAAATTCCGTTTTGTTACAGTTGCCTTCAGTATTCGGTACAGTAACTTGCTATACAGGTTTGTAGCCCAGGAACAATAGGCTATACCATACAGCCTAAGTACGTAGTAGGCTCTATCATCTAGGTTTGTGTGAGCACACTCTATGATGTTTGCACTGGGATGCAATTGCCTGACAATATATTTCTCAGAATATAACCCTGATGTTAAGCAATGCATGACTGCATTTAAATTACCCGTCTTCTGCAGAGTAGGAGTTGAGCAAATGAGTGAGGCCAAGCATATTTCCCTAATGAACGTTCTTCCACAGGGACACATTGTGTGGGGAGGTGGGGTGAGGACCAGACATCCATTCTAAGAATATCCAAGAGCTGGTGTTGCTGGCTTTCATCCTCTCTTCCCTCTCTGAAACCTGGAAGTACTCCTTTTCACTTTTCAGCTAAGCTGTGTATTTAAAACCATTTTCCGAACGTTTTAGCCAACATTGCAATGTTTGAAGCCAGGAGCTTCAGCTGCCATGTTGCCAGAAGTTCTTTCAGAGAGTTTTTTTCACAAAGGAAACAGGCTATTAAGGCAATTGCTCAAGAACAGGCCTTCCTAGATTCCTTTCCAAGCCATTTTTAGACTTTGAGATACCACAAAATATTTCCTAACATTATTCTGTCTTTCATTAACTGTAATAAAATAATTGAGTGTAAATATCAACATATTAAAGTGTATATTTTTCTCCTGAGTTTAGTAGGCAACACACTTTTAAACACATACAATAGATACAATTTGAATTGCATGTCTTATGTCTTACATGATGAAATTTGTGCTCTCATGCTTGTCTAAATTAGTCTATTGGTATAGAGTAACAGAGCTTTATCAAATCATAACTCTATAATGAATTCCTTGAAGATATCTGAAAATAGTTCGTAGCCATTTTTTTTACACAATTGCTTTTTCAAGCAATGAATTTCCACTTAAATAAAATATAGATTTACAAAAAATGGAAAACTTACAAAGCATTATAAAACAATGGGAAAGTATGTCCTTAAACTTTTGTGCATTTATTCTAGGAAAATCTCACATCTCCTTTTCCACACCTATAAAACAAAACAGAATCAGCACTGACCTGAAGAAAGCAATAATTTACTGCCAAATGTGATCATTTCCCTGATTGGAAATTCACAGAAATGAAGAATTTGCCATCAACTTTCTTTCAAATAAGGAAAGAAAAACATTTCAATATAGTCATGCAAAACAAGTGAACATTTTTATTGAACATTTTCTTGGACAGGCACTGTGCAAAATTATTCTGTGTCCAATCACCTCCTCCGCTGTGACTGGCAGCACAATTCTTGACCCATTTTACAGATTAGGAAACATGAGTTTCCAGAGTTTATTGACACTCATGTAGCTGTTATGTCCTTTTGATGTTTAAAGGATCTAATTTATTCAAAGCCAGGTAGTACCGTCAGCTGATGGGAAATAAAGTATTTCCCAAGGGACTTCAAAGGAACAAGTAGATGTTTGAGTTGCACAGTGAGCTAAATTATGCAAGTTGCAGAAATCCTAGGTGGATATTATGATACCTTTCAGATCAGTTTCTACCCTGCAGGGCGGCAATAACCTTGCAGATCCTTTATGGATTAGGTTTGTAAGCGGTTTTGGTTTCATGAACCCCTTGAGTTTTCTAGTGAATCCAATGGACCTTGTCTCAGAATAACGTTTTAAGATGTATAGCAGAAAGAAGAGAAATGATATTGGAATACAGTTCAAGCAGATGACCCCTTAGGATTTTCCCAGCATTTCTACTCTGCCTACTTCTCCTCTCATGTCTACCAAAGAGGCTTTCTCTAATTTATTCAGAAAGGTAAAGGAGAGACACCCAAGCAGGTCTGTAGGTTATGGGGGTAGCAAGGAGTATGGGATGGGCTACTGTGGACGTGTTTTTGAAGTGACATCACCGTCTCCCTTCCTCTTCCCTTTCCCTTCCCTCTGGAAGCCTCCTCACTTCTCTAGCTCTTCCTTCCTTTCCCACACCAAGTCCAACTTCTTGCCTTTTTACCTCTCGTCTATCCTCCTCACCCCTTGCTGAGCCCGCCCACTTTTCTAGGCCCGCCCCTCCAGGCCGCGCCCCCTGTCTAGGCCCCGCCTCCTCCTCAGTTTCCTGCCAATGACGCTGGGGCCGCCCCGTCGCCCCGCCCCGTCGCCCCGCCCCGAGGCCCACACCAAGCGTGTCCGCGGCCTGTCCTCCTGGCGGAGGAGCCTGGACTGCGGAAGGATGGAGCTGGCCGCGGGCAGCTTCTCGGAGGAGCAGTTCCGGGAGTCCTGCACCGAGCTCCAGCAGCCCGCTCTGGCCGGGGCCGACTGGCAGCTGCTGGTGGAGACCTCGGGCATCAGCATCTACCGGCTGCTGGACCAGGTAGCGGCCGACCCGCTGGAGGACTGCAGGGCCTGAAGTGCGACGGGGTCGACCTCCCCGCCGGGAGTGCGGGGCGGCAGTCGCGGACGGGACAGGGGCGGGTCTTCTCCGGCGCAGGGAGGAGCTCCGCCCCGCCCGGGCTCCGGCTCTGGAGCTAGCGCAGGGGCGGTGCCTCCAAGTGAGTGCCTCGTGCAGATCCAGGGGAGCTGGAGTCATCGGGGTTCAGCCTCAGGTCAGGCCCCACGGGGGAAGTAGTTAGTTCGAAGTTAATGACAGTTGAAACGTGGGTCAGCTGGTTCCTAGGCCTGCGCACATGCCTACAAGGGACGTTGATCCTCACTTTCCATTGAGTGCCAGTGGCATCGTGGGGACTTGGGGGGATCATAGGGCTTGGATAGAGGAGGAAATGAAACAGAACTTTTAGGGACTGGATGTGCAGATGGTCAGTGTCGGGGATTGCCAAGAAAGGCCCTACTATTTTAGTGACTCGTTTATTTTGGTTGTTGCCCCTTCCTTCTAAGTGGCACTTAATGAGTCCGAAGCTTCAGGCAGAAGGAGTAACAGGATTGGTAATGTAGGAGTAACAGGACTGGTTATTAAGGTCTTTGGAACCAGGTAGCCATCCAGGTGGAAGGCATTGCCCCTGAGGCCTGGCATCCAAGGCTTGTCATCAGTTGGTTTGTGTAATAGTCGCAGCATGGCCAGTAAGTTAAAAGTTGCCCGCAGGTAATGTGGGTGAAATTGAAGTTTCCTGATATAGGACCAGGATATTATAGTGTTCGAGCTAGGAGGATACCTTGTGCTCACCTGGTTAAACCCTGCATTTCATAGATGAAAGCAGCAGCCCTCGAGGGTGAAGTCACTCCTGAAAGGGTCCAGATAAGTGAATAGCACAGGTGGTATTGCAGGGTCCATAATCTTGTGAATGTCAAACATGTGGTTGCTTTTTTAGGCAATTGCATTTTTGTTTACATCAAATATAGTATTTTTATATTTTAAAACAGAAAACAAACGTTTGCAATATTTAGAATTTGGTCATCTGTTAAACAGGAATGAAAACTCTGCCTACCTCACTGCAGGGTTGTTAGGGGGGTTAAATCCAATTTGTCAAGATATGTGTGAAAGTCTGATAGTGTAGATGACTACAATGCACAGGACTGTGCCCCCATACCTCTCCCAGGGAAGAATTATCCAGTCCCAACTGTAATTTTGCCAAAGTTGAGAAACCCTACTCTAAATAAATGGAGAATATAGGTATTGTGAAGAAATTTCCTGTCTAAATATGTACATATTAGCTTTGGAGGCAGTCCATCCCTCCCCAGTTAGTGGGATATAAAACATGCTACTTTGAATACTTACAAATTGGTAGGGCTAGGCTTTTCATAATCCAGAGCACAGCAGATACTGCAAGTGGATAAACTGCCTTATTTACATTTTTTCAATATACAGATGTTATATCTTGATGGATTACTCACTCAACAAACTCTGAATACTTGCTGTGTGCTAGGACCATTGGGTGGGTATAACAAGATAACCAAGAAGCTTACAGTCTAGAACAGGAAGAATAAATTCTTAGGGTTACTTTAAAAGGTACCTCAGTTTGAAAATTGATGTATTTTCAGACAGTGTTTTTCTTTAATTTTAATTTTTTAGAGATGGGGCCTTGCTATGTTGCCCAGGCTGGTCTTGAACTCCTGGGCTCAAGGGATCCTCCTGCCTTAGCCCTCAGCCTCCCAAAGTGCTGGGATTAAAGGGATGAGCTACCATACCCAGCCAGACAAAATCTTTTTATCTTTTCTGCTATTCCATTTTCCTTACCAGCCACATCAAGGCTTTGGTCAAGTTTTGTTGTTTCAACTGCACAGACATGTCTAGCATCTGGCTTATTTCCTCCCGTTTTCTTTCCTTTATCTTTGCTACTCTGGGTACTCAGCACCCCTCACTTAGAATTGCAGTGACCTCTTAACTAGTTTCTTGACCTACCACCTCTCTGCTCCTGTCTATCCTACACATCACAGCACAATCAAACATGTGAGAAGGTGTGATCTTATCACTACCATTTCAGTGACCTATCGATTGCAGAAATTGTAATAATCATCTTTGTAATAGCTAATATTTATTGCATGCTTTCTTATAATCCCAAGTGCTAAGTGTTTTGCAAGTACTGATTTACTCAATCCCTGCATCAACCCTATGATATGGTATTATGATGATTACCTTTTTACCTAAATGGAAAGGAATGCATAGAAAAGTTAAGTCGGTTGCTCAGGATTCCAGCTGGGATCCAAGCCCAGCTGTCTGCCTCCGGTCCTGTGCCTTCAACCTGCTCCTGAATTGCCTCGCCAAACAGAAGGCAAATGCTGTGTGGTGGCTACACTGAATTAACTTGGTCTCGACTCACATTTCCATCACTCTTTCCCCTGACTTGTCCATAGACCTGACCTCTTCTCTAGCCAGACCAGACCACTGTGCCATCTTCCCTGTATACAAACAAGGCAGTTGAGGTCCAGGGAAAGTCAGTGGCATATGCAAGGGACATGGCTAAGAAGTGGTGAATGAAACTGGGATTTAGATCCAAGTCCATCTGCCCATGAAGCCCCTATTCTTTCTCCAAGCCACACACCGTCTTTTTCTAATAAAGCTTCCCGCATGTGGGGTGGACCATCTTAGGAAGGCGAGGTCCTCATTAATGGAGGTACAGTACTGTGTTGGAGAAAAAAACTCAAACTGTTTTTTTCATTGTCTCAACATCACCAACAACAGTTAGCACAGAAGACTCCTGTGACCAAATGCCTGAGGATTTCCCCCCAAACACCAAGTAAGCAGTCAGTTTTGCGGTGGACATGAGCTAGGTGTCCTCCAGTTCAGTGTTGACACTATCTACCCAGAAGTAGTGTCAGATCCCATAGGTTGAGGTCCCAGTTCCACAGATTAACCCCCTCTCCCCTGCCACTTGCAATGCCACTTGAAAGCCCCAGGTTGTTTTACTTGTGCTTCTGACGAACTGTCTATAAACAGGGGATCCCACAACCCCCTCCTTGGATTCAATTAATTTACTAGAGAGGCTGACAGAACTCAGAGAAACACTTGATTACATTTGCTGGTTTACTATAAAGGATCTTGCAAAGGATTCAGATGCATTGGATGAAGTATGGGGAAGGGGCTCGGACCTTTGGATCCTTGGATGTGCCACCTTTCAGGAACCTCCATGAGTTCAGCTATCCAGAAACTCTGAACCCCATCCTCTTGGGTCTTTTATGGAAACTTCATTGGCTAGGCATGATTGAAGAATGGACAACAGCATTGAAATGTGACTGAATGCAAAGGATCTGAGCTCATATTAGTAGACTGACTGGGGAAACCCAAGGAAGTCTGTCCAGATTCTTCTGGCCTCTCCATGCAGCATTCCTTCTTCCAGGGTGTCGGGGAGGACCCTCTGTGGAATGAAGGTGTTATGACTCTTGATTCAACCCCTGAGGTCTAAAGTGCACCAACATACAAAACACTGTTCCAAGGCCTATGAGAGTTATGAACCAGAAACGGTGGACAGAAATATGTGTGTGTGTGTATTGGCTGTACAGTACTGGAGTGTGTGTGTGGATATGTGTGTATACACACATTCTAGTACTGTACATCCAATACACACCCCACACACACCCATATGTATACACACATATGTATATATAATGTATATTTATATACACACATATACATGTGTGTATATATATATATATATATATATATATATATATAAAATCTCATAATATCACAAGTACTGTATTCAGAAAGGAGACCGGAGACCATTTGTATGTATACTTCATTCAGCTTTTATTGAGGCTCTGCAATGGGGCAGATGGAATGCTATGAATCTAAGAGTTGCTCCTCTGAAGATCCTAGTAGTTTAATTATGAAGTTATGGGCATTGGTTGGACTGATGGTCCTTGAAGGACGGGATTGTGCACAGTATGCTTGCCACTGTGTAGTATGAGCTGGTTGTGATGACCCCTTGCTTTGCTTCCCACATTCAGCATAGAGGTGCCCAACCTAAGACCAAAGCTATGTGGCTCCTTGGGGCTTTTTTTTTTTGAGACGGGGTTTCACTCTTGTTACCCAGGCTGGAGTGCAATGGCACGATCTCGGCTCACCGCAACCTCTGCTTCCTGGGTTCAAGCAATTCTCCTGCCTCAGCCTCCTGAGTAGCTGGGATTACAGGCACGCGCCACCATGTCCAGCTAATGTTTTGTATTTTTAGTAGAGACGGGGTTTCATCATGTTGACCAGGATGGTCTCGATCTCTTGACCTCGTGATCCACCTGCCTTGGCCTCCCAAAATGCTGGGATTACAGGCTTGAGCCACTGCGCCCGGCTCCTTGGGGCTTTTGAACAGGAATTGAAAGAAGGATAGAGAAAAACCAAACTGTGACCATTATTTAAATGATGCTGTAACAAAGTTACTATTATATGTTTTTAAAAGACTGAAACAAGAGTAGAGGCTCTTGAAAGAGATTTCAATGTAGCCAATTGTATTTTAAAATAAAAATAATATAACCATGTCCTTTCTTTAGTTGACACAGATGATTCTGAATCCTCTTCTTGGACAAGAGGGCACTTTTGATGTACAGCATTTTGATAAATTTTTTGTTTTCTATTTTTCTATTAAATCACAACATTTTTGGATTGGAAAGTTTCTTCTAAACCATGCTGCCCAACACCATCATCTTTTTATTTCCTTTACTTCTTCTTTCTTTGCCTACTCTGTTTCCTTCCTTTCTTCTCTTATTTCCCCTCCATGATGTAATGATAATAACTTTATTTGATGCTGCAAATTATAAATGCTGTCACATAAGTTTTCATTTGCCCTTTTACACAGATGTGGAAGATAGGCAAAAATGGGCTTATTTTACAAATGGAAATAAGATCTGGAGTTGTTGAGCAAGCCACATAAGACTTCATAACTAGTAACTAACATGAACAGTCTACTTTGATGAACTCAGTACCAA